CCCCCAGTTCCACTTTCAAGCAACTGTACCAGCTTGTGATCCCATCCAAAGCAATGGATGTTCCCATCAAGTTTGAATCCTACCTCACCTCCCTAACTGCCTTTGTACCAAAAATGACTTGGTGACTGAATTTGAATCATTCCCAGTACAAATGTTATGAGATGTTATCTGAATGCTACCAATCCGAAGCTGATTGTGAAAGGATATATCTTGATCATACGTTTGATTGATTCAATCTCATTTGAAAACCCTTTATTTCGGCCAATTCATATCACATGTGTGATATTCAAAATTTATTATTGTACTATGTGAATAACTAATCTTATTTCCAGGACTAACAGTTTTATTTCAGCCCAGCATGAACCATGTGATGACCTTCAACCTAATGAACATTGTACACTATGCTATATAAAAGTAATCTTAATGAACACTATCATGATTGCTGTTCGATTAAAGTGACTTATTTGGTGTACCCAATGAAGCGACGATATTGGGAGCCACTCTTAATATTGACATTGAGAATTAAAGCTTATAAACAGAGACATGTACTCTATACTTATGAGAATTAATTCTGCAGCTTTGTGATGACTCTGCATTTTGAGGAAGGACACGAAGAATGGCTGACAATCTCAATTTTATATTGTACTGGAGACCATGCCAAATACTTAACATATTCCCTTATTATAGTGGGGAACCAGTGACAATGACTGTATCATCAATTAATGTGATGGTAAGAACGTTTGATAAACTTAATGCAGACAGTATGGATATTACTTCAACCCTTGACAAGAACCATGACCTACAAGAGAAAGAAGGAAGACACTAATGCTGCTAGAGACATTTTTTGTAATTAAATGTGATTGTTTATTAGATTATGCTAGCCTTTTTATGTTATGTATTTCAGTTGAGAAATCGAGAAAAGTGTAAACTAACATTGTATTTGATTTAGACTTATGTTTATTAAGTAGTAAACTGATTAAACATTAAAACCTTATTGTGTATATATGTTTATCAATTCCTTTACTAGGTACTATGTTGTAGTAAATGATGTGTGAAATGCTTACTTTAGGTAATGTGTTTATATATAATTTGCATCTTTTATCAATAATTTCATAGTTCGAGGACGAACTCTTTTAAAAGGGGGAGCAGTGTGACGATCCTTCAGATTACTTTGAGCATGGTAATGGAATTGCCTTGAAGGATTGTCACTTTGTTTAACTTTTTGCTCTTCACTTTATCAATTGTGCTTTTAGTTACTCAATATTTAAAGAGTTATACAATAATTTAAATTCTGTAAAAGGGTAGTCAGTATTACTACTTTGGCTATACTCTTAAAGTATGGTTAGAGTTTAATCATTTTTCTCTATATTTATATTTGGGTTAATAACCTTCTCTTGTGTTTTTCATGTAATATTATTTACAGGATTAATGTCAACATATACATTTTGTTCATAATATGAGTTTAATATGAAGGTTTTAGGCCCAGTTTCATGTTTAATGTTATGTTACAAACTTTTTAGAAAGGGCAGTTGTCTGGGTTTGTTTTCAAAATCCAAAGTGAGGCTTATTAAGCTTGATTTAAGTAAATAAGCACGATTTAAGTGAATTGTCTTTTTCTGTGCTTTTATGATTCGAATTCAAGCCGGCCAGACATGGAAAACATTTTGTGGAATTTTAAACATTAAATCGTCACTAAAATTGGATATTTATATTGCCGCAGATAAACCAACTTAGGTGTACGAGTTGGTAAAGGTAATTGACTTGATCTAATTGTATTTTTGCAGAGTTTTAGTCTTTGAAAAGAAGTATCTGTAAACTTGATTTATTTCCTTAATTTTATTTATTTGCCTTGTGAACATCCCGTGTTTAAATTGTCCCAGGGATTGTTAAGGAACATTTGACAAGGTTAACGCAAAGTTACACGCAGAGTTTTTGTCTTAAAGAACCTATGTAACTTATTAACCAGCGTCGAAAGCAAGTTCCCGGGGTTCCTTATGGAACCTTCTATACAACATCCCCACAGGGAATCGTTTGGGAATATTTGACAAGGTGTACGGAAAGTTACTGTCTTTACGAACCTTATGTAGCTTGCTCTAAACCAGAGTCAACTGCAAATTCCAGGGGTTCATAGACACCTCTATACGACATCTTCCCCCCCCCCCATCCAGTTTGGGACTGTATTTAGTTTGTTCACAGGGTAAATTTTATTAATACACTAGAAATACTCGTTTGTATATTTGTATGTTAAATTCTGGGTAATTTAAAGGTGAAATAACGAGCTTATGGGACCATTATCAAACAACTGATCATTGAAGTACTTTTAAGGGTCAAGGACATTTGAAGCTCAATTTAAGACTTTAAGCCTAGTTTAAGACTATTTTGGATATTTTGACATTAAGTACCTTCGAGGTTCATTGGAAGTCACTTTTAAGACTAAAGCTTCTTTTAAAGCCTCTGTCCAGACATTTTGAAGTTCAGTACTTTTAAGGATCACGGTCATTCAAAGCCCATTTTCGGACTTAAGACACCCCCTCCCCTTCTAGTTTTCCATGTCTGGTCTAATTCTATGTTAACCACATTCTAATTCATTATAGATACTGGAATACTTTTAAAATACTGTTTCCTGTTTACTTGCCAATTGTACCATAGTCTGATAGTGGCAAAATGATGTTCTACTTTTCATGTGAGTAGTATAGAGAGCTGATTTCAACCCCACCAGGGATTATATAAAATTGCACTGTTGAGTTACATTTTTGGGTGAGCTGTGCTGTTTTATGCATGTTTGGTTTGAGAGATTATTTACTTGATATACCATCTCGGCAGTACTGAATTGTGTAATGTTTGTGTAGATTAGTACATAGAAATAGAGTCGTTTTTATACATTATATAAAAATCCACAGAATATCACTTCTTGTGTTCAATTGTTTATATATATGTTAGAAATCCCCCCTCATTTTATCTAAAGTAGATTCTGGATTCAAAATAGATTCTGACTAAATTCCAGGTGACTTCAGTGATACTAACATTCAAGCAACAAGCTTTATCTTAGCTCATATTTGCTAAGGGCTTCTTTGAATAACAATCACTCACAATAAGTCATACATATATTTTCCCAGAAACTATGCAATAGTGCAAAGCTAAAGTACAATCCAGGATCTTACTTTCTTATTTAACCTTTATCTTATTGAGAATATTAGTGAGAATTTCATTCACCCTGGTTCCCAGTCGTTACCTCAAACATCATTTACTTCCAATGTTTTCTTACTTGCTTGTTTAAATGGTGTACAAGTAATATTATCCCCTGATGAGTTTGACAGACTCTTGATTTGAAATAGCCCTACGTTAATTCTTACAAAATCTCCCATTTTAAGTGTGAACAGTGAGCTTTATATACAGCTTGAAGTCCATTGTAGCCCCCAGTGGCTAAGACTTCTACCTGGTTATACTCACACCCTAACATTATACTTATTTGATACAACTGAACACTGGGCACATTCAGAATCTGGAGTCTGTTGCCATTCGCCTTTATGAGACAAACAACTTACATTGAAAACTGCCAAATCTTACTTAGTCTATATTCAGATTTTGTTATCCCGTAATTGTTATCCCGAAATTGTCCCACTTCATCCCAATTATTTTTATCCCAGAATTTATCCCTAAATTTTTATCCCTAAATTTATCCCTAAATTATCCCTAAATTTTCATCGCAAAATTTATCCCAATTTGATCCAATTTTGTTATGATACTGTGAACACGGATGTTGTTCAAATAAATAGGGATACACATTTCAACTTTTACTTGAACTTGTCCCGAAACTAAGTTAATGAAAACATCAAATCAAACTATTGATTCTTAGACTGTATTCTGTTTGCGACCCCCAAACCACGCTACCACACGAGGGTCGTAACAGAAATACCCTTTTGCTGGCTGTATTATATTCAAACAATGTCAATTTAGTTAAAAATACTGATCAACAAGGATCACTCCTACCATACAATAAGGTGATATAACATTAATTTGCTCAGACACTTATTGCCTGTGAAAACTATGATCACGTAAATGATTTTCTTATCTATAACTTCATGAAAAACGGGAATTATAATTTTCTGGCCCCAAAATCTCAACGTTTCAAATATCAACTTTTACGACTTTCTATTAAGTATTCAAATTGGAATCCAGATACGTATATGGCACATATGAAACATTAATTTTTCACCAGTTTTTATATGATTTATAGCACAGGGGGGTTGATATAAAAAAGTCTGGCGACATTGGTCAAGGAACAGTTTCAACATGGTTAAAATGTCAAAATGATAGTTTCTGTCATTTAACCAGAAGCTGGGATCGCCTTGTGTATAATACACCACTTTATATGGGATGTTATGCATGAAAAATTCTCTAATGGCACCATACAATCCTGATTTTTGATATGGCGACAGTCACGTAACTGATGAATAGCCCTATTCTAGTACATATAATAAAATATGTGTTACTGAGAAATCATATATTACAAACGTGCTAGGTAGAGGGTCATATATACTATTTATATATACAACAAAAAGTGATGTTGGTAATGTAAATGCTGAGATTGAGCCCTGGGTCACCTATTTTGCATTCTTATTGAGAATGGGTGAGTTATGCAGTCTGAGTCTAACTGCGAAGCCTTTTGCCCTTCCCTTATCCCGTACCAGGACAATATATATGTTCCTCTGAATACATCTCCTCCGATTACTATATTTGCACATAGCCAGGATAGCTTTGAGTAAACTAAGTAATCCTCCGAGAGCTGGGGGGGGGGCAAAACCCCAAGTAAAGGCCCAATCATGTGTGTAGGAAATTGCCACTATTCCATTCATATTTAGGCTTAAATGAGTTGGTCATAAAATAGTATGTCAATCCATGGGCTTTCAAATAGCTAATGTAAAAATTCTACCTAATACATAGTGAGTGGGAGGGGGATGACTGGAATTGCAATACCAGATTCTCCACAATATTGTTGAAAATAAAACACTCGGGATCCCTAATTAGAAAATGAAAAATTATAGTCCTTTTCAAAACAATAAAAATCATGAATACTGGACGAAATTCAACGAATCTTGATGTAACACAAGGTAAAATCAACGTTTTTATTTTATATTCGTCCCTTGTAAAGAATTTATTGCAATTCGCCACAGACAAATCCTAATAATTCTCTCCATTATCGCCCATTCGCATTTGCTAATAATTTTTCACTTTTTGCTCTCTGAGGCTATGTCTATGCCAATAATCGTTCAATTAAAACAGTGATAGAATTTGAATAGAATATAAACCTAAGGTCAAACTGCACCTCTTTTTGTCATCAGCAAATTGTGATTCACAGTGCACTATCAATCTTCATTATTCAGTTATTTATTTCTAAAAGTTTTATATGAAGTTTTCTGAGGTTATCACTAAAAAGTATTTTGTAAATAAACTTATTCGCAACAATATTTACTGTTATCTTTCAGTGACATCTGACATTTTAAGTGAATTCCTTGAAGTAGCCTTCCATAGTATTCTTTACACAAGAGAACTATACCCAGCAGGTATCTTTGAAAGACGCAAGAAATACAATGTTCCGATACAAATGTCAACCCATCCAGATGTGAACCAATACATAATTGCCACAATACAGAGCCTGAAACCATTGCTGGATAAGCATACAGCTGACCGAGTCTGTATGACAATATTGGATGGTAGCAGCAGACCAACAGAGAAATTCGTCTTTGAGATTGCCTCAGCAACAGCATGTGATTTTAGGTACATTCTTACTCTTATTCTATTAACCCTTAATGTGCGGTACATGTCTTAAATCGCATTGACATGTATTTCAATCATTTTTTGAATTTAAGTAGCTCACTTATTCTAGGAGAACTTTTAGTCAAACTCATTGCTGAATTTATATCACTACATTTACATTGTGATTATTTTATGAAACCTGAATTCTTTTGTTTGGTTACATTGCAGTGAAGACATGTATCTAGTGCGCTTGGAGGATGCTCTAAGGGCTTTCCTGCTCAAATTGAATATATGTGATGCTATTCTTACAACCAACCCACAAGGTGAACTTCCTTTTAGTTATACAGTATGAGTGTGAGTCAAGATGATAATCATCACAATCAAGCAAGAGTTCGAGTGAATTGTTGCTGAAGTATTTCTATGATTGCCTCCTATGGCCATCTAAAACAATTTTCAACAAAAGAGATAATATGCTTTATAAAACATTGTGTATCCCATGGCCTGTAAAATTAGATAAGTTCAAACAACAGATTCCTTTAATTTTGAATACAATTTATACATGACAGATATGATTCAAAACTTGAAGGAAATCACAAGTTACAATATTGTTTAAAACTAATTCATTTTGAATAATATTTTGTCATTATTTTGATATTCTATCTGTCAAGAAAATGCCCATGAGTTTTGTTATTATCCCATCGAACGAAGTTCGGAGGGATATAGGGAACGCCTCCGTCCGTCCGTCCGTACGTAAGTCCGTCCATCCGTCCGTCCGTCCGGGCAATAACTCAAATACCGTTGGCCCGATTTTGTTCATATTTTGTACACATATACCCTATGGGGGTAGAAGTTCTGCTCGAAAGCCGATTTTCGAAATGGCAGCTCATTTCAAAATGGCGGCCATTTTAGTGCCGATTTTACAGTAATTTAGGTGCAATATGTAAAACTGTAATAGCAATATGTTTTAAATGTAAAAAAATTATAAAGGACATTAATAATGCTACAAATGTAGATATTAAAGAAGCACATGGCAGCCATCTTGAAAAATGGTGGCCTTTACTCGTCATTTTACGATTTTTGCTGTAACTCAAAAAATAGTGGAGCGATTTTGTTCATATTTGGTATGTGAATATTATAAGCATTGCACACTGTCTAAAGACACTTTTGGTAGAAGGTGGCCATTTTGAAAAAAAAATTGAAAAATGGCCGCCATTTTAACGTATTTTGCTATAACTCGAAAAGTAGTGGAGCGATTTTGTTCATATTTGTGAATACTAAAGGACATTTGTGAATATAAAGGACATTAATAATGCTACAAATGTAGATATTAAAGAAGCACGTGGCAGCCATCTTTAAAAATGGCAGCCTTTACTCGTCATTTTACGATTTTTGCTGTAACTCAAAAAATAGTGGAGCGATTTTGTTCATATTTGGTATGTGAATACTATAAGCTTTGCACACTGTCTAAAGACACTTTTGGTAGAAAAATGAAAAATGGCCGCCATTTTAACGTATTTTACTATAACTCGAAAAGTAGTGGAGCGATTTTGTTCATATTTAGTATGTGAATACTATAAGCATGGCACACTGTCCTATGGCATTTTTGGTAGAAGGCGGCAATTTTGAAAAAAAATTTGAAAAATTGAGTTGAGGTACTAACAATAAGTTTTATCACATGGCTGCCATTTTAACATATTTTACTATAACTCGAAAAGTAGTGGAGCGATTTTGTTCATTGGTATGTGAATACTATAAGCATGGCACCCTGTCTATTTCTAATGACACTTTTGGTAGAAGGTGGCCATTTTGAAAAATGGTCGCCATTTTAACGTATTTTACTATAACTCGAAAAGAAGTTGAGAGATTTTGTTCAAATTTGATATGTGAATACTTAAAGCATGGCACATTGTCTAATAAAACTTTGGGGAGTAGTTGGCCATTTTGAAAAATGACCACCATTTTTATGTGTGTTATTTTACAAGTACGTGTGCGATTTTTCAAAAATTTTAGAGTGGCTACGTAAAAGCATATTATTTCATCTGATGACAACTTGGCTAGTGAGCAACCATTTTGAAAATGGTGGCCTTTCTGGTGTGTTGTTTTATGATATTTGCTATTCGTTTGTAAAAATGCCAGCCATTTCTGTTCGATAGGATTCGCTACGCTTTGGCGTTGCCGTTGTTCTGGTTGCAATATGCTTTGTTAAAAATGAGAGAACTTTTATTATCACAATTATGCAAATTTAAGATTGCAAACAATATCATGGAGGCCCTCGTAGTCATTTTGACAATTTGAAGGTCAAATCTGAAATTTAAGGTCAGATCTGAGAACTTGTAGGTGACTTTTGAACTAAGAAAAGATATGATTTTTTAATTTTAAGAATGCAGTTGGTGCATCCAGGTTCATACAACAGAAATTGCTTATGCTGACATGAAACAAACACCTAAAGCTCAAGTAAGTATCAGCATTATTTCTATGCATACATCAGAAATAGCTTACTTGTATGCTGAAATAAACATACACCTTAGCTCAAGTAAGTATCAGCATTATTTCTATGCATACATCAGAAATAGCTTACTTGTATGCTGAAATAAACATACACCTAAAGCTCAAGTAAGTATCAGCATTATTTCTATGCATACATCAGAAATAGCTTACTTGTATGCTGACATGAAACAAACACCTAAAGCTCAAGTAAGTATCAGCATTATTTCTATGCATACATCAGAAATAGCTTACTTGTATGCTGAAATAAACATACACCTTAGCTCAAGTAAGTATCAGCATTATTTCTATGCATACATCAGAAATAGCTTACTTGTATGCTGAAATAAACATACACCTAAAGCTCAAGTAAGTATCAGCATTATTTCTATGCATACATCAGAAATAGCTTACTTGTATGCTGAAATAAACATACACCTTAGCTCAAGTAAGTATCAGCATTATTTCTATGCATACATCAGAAATAGCTTACTTGTATGCTGAAATAAACATACACCTTAGCTCAAGTAAGTATCAGCATTATTTCTATGCATACATCAGAAACAGCTTACTTGTATGCTGAAATAAACATACACCTAAAGCTCAAGTAAGTATCAGCATTATTTCTATGCATACATCAGAAATAGCTTACTTGTATGCTGAAATAAACATACACCTTAGCTCAAGTAAGTATCAGCATTATTTCTATGCATACATCAGAAATAGCTTACTTGTATGCTGAAATAAACATACACTAGGCCTGTAGCCAGGATTTGCCAAGGGGGTGTTCACTTTTTGGGCGGTCGCCCCCAACACCCTCCCCCTTCCGACACCAATGCCATGGATCACATATGGTCAGATAAAACACAACATTTAAATGAAGAAATGTAGCTGTATGTATGTCTGTGACAATTACATTTTTAAAGTTCCTGTCAATGTGGTCTCATAATCATATAGTGTGCCTTTTCCATTTCAAACTCCTGGCTATAATCCTGGAATGAACAAGGACTGGGGCAATTATTTTTAATAACAAACATATACAGATTTTGGCACACTGTATACAATTGTTGACCTCTCCAGAGGTCAACCGGCAATATTGTATACCGAGACTGTAAACCGAGAAACTACTGTCGACAGAGACCAGAGGTCGAGGGTCGAGGTCAACAGTAGTTTCAAGGTTTACAGTCGAGGTATATGATTTTGACGGTTGACCGAATGGAGAGGTCTACAATTGTTTTGTTTGGCCGAAGAAACTAATAATACACATATAGACAACAATCATCAATCGGCATGGCTTCATTTCACAATCTTTTCTCCGAACCATGCCAGCAATGCATACTCATTTGTAAATTAATGTTAATTTTACGTTTCTATTTGTATTTTTACTATACTTGTCGTCTTGTAGAGTCAAAATATCACTTTCATCAACGTTTACAAAATGTCCGTCTACCATTATTTCTGTAGACATTATGATGTCATGAAACTTATTTTTCAAAAGTAGTGGTCAACAGTTTTTAGTAGCGGTCAACAGTACATATTGTTGACCGCTAATCAACCAATCAGAATCGAGTATTTTAGCTGAGGTACTAACAATAAGTTTTATCACATGGCTATGTTTTTCTGCTATGTTGAAGGAATTTACATGGGTTGAAGCAGAGAGAGAGCAAACCTACATGGGAGAATCATCTATGCTACCATTGAAGTCTGTAGACAATGCTGTTGTCAAGGTAAGTAGACAGTGGGAATAATGCAGTTCTGGATATCTCTTTCATTGACTACTGTATACTGCATATGACTACATGTACATGAACTGACTTCTAAAAGACTACAATATGATTCATAAAAGATTCTGGATTTTGAAGAAATATAAATGCATTCTTAATGAATATTAATATTTCTATTGACCACATAGCTTTATGGCATTCCAAAAACCAATTCGATTGAGTTTAGTGAGTCATGGTAGAAAGACCCATTATGATACCATTTGATTTTTTTCCAAAGTTTTGATATCATTACAATTATCAATGTTCAGTTGAAAATATTTGAGCAAATTTTAAGAAATATGTAATATTTTGTGCAAAGTGTTCAGATTAGGCAGGTTGATTTTTCAAATATGAGTGTAAAGTGTTCAGATTTCAAAGTTTTTTTAATAACATGGGAGTCAATGGGGAAAAAAAATGGGACCACGAAGGTGTTCAGATAAGCCAGGTGTTCGAATATACATGTTTCACTTTTTAATTTTGGTTCGTTTATCTGTTGTTGTTTTTATTGCAGATGCAGTTATATGTGGAGGAAAATACCTCAAGAAAGAAAACTTGACACAATTTAAAAACAATGACCATATGTTTAATATTGAAATCTGATTTCATCTTATCTTGTTTTTTAACATATCTGATGCATAATTGAGAGTTAAGATAAGAGAAATAAGAGAAACACATGAGTGTGGATAAAGCTTTTTTCACATACTCTTTGAAAGGATAACTGTAATATGGCTAAATCCAATTTTTTACTTTTATAGGTGAGTTTATTGTAAATAAAACTTGAATACATGTATAACAGAATAACATGTAATAATTATTTTTGTGGGATAATGCAGTAAAATATCCTGGTTAGAAATAGATATTTATGCACACTATCTATATTGCAGTAGTATTCGGTAAATAATATATGTATACACATTTTCGTTAACTTTATCTTGTGATTTATAGTGAGAAAAAAGCTGTAGTAGTTTTTTCCAACCTTATAGTTGCGCATTTGTTTTAACTGAAACAATAAACTAACATTATACTATAATTCAATATAAATGTGTTCTTGTTTATGCAGGTGAAGTTCCAAATCTGAAAATTTTAGTTTGTAGATGCATGGAATGACATCAAAATCACAATCTGAATGAGAAATAAAACTCATTTACTCAATATTCTCAATATAATGTAGTAGCCCAGCAGTTGATTTTTGAAGTAATTGAAAACAGTTGACCCTTGGCTGAGCTTGACAAGGAACACATACAAGGGCCGATCAAAAAGTTTCTTACCGTTGGCTCTAGATTTTATAATAAGAGGAGTTGGATGCTCAAACTTTTACATAAGACAGGGTGGTAAGTTTGCTTGAGATTGCCTGAGTTTCATTTAAATTGGTTCATTGGTAGTGACACAGAGTCAATACATATTTTCAATGATTGAATTAGGTGGAGCAGCGTTTTTTATAAAAAATTGTGCTAAGCTGCAGTTTTGGAAAATTCTAACACTAAGTAGTGTCATCTGTCAACAGACTGTAATTTAATCACGTTTAATTAGTTTTTCTGCTAATAATCATTCTCATTCAATATATATTCAACCCCAGTTGCAATGCACTTTCTATATCTGTCCACTCGATCCAAAAACACATGTTTAAGGCCTCCGTATGAGAGGTTTGAAACGATGTCGGTAAATTTCCAGAACCACAACTCGGCAGATATTTTATATATAACGCTGCTCCACCTAACAATGTCATTGAAAATATGAACTGACTCTGTGTCACTATCAATAATATGAAACTTATACAGTTCCAAGCAAACTAACTATCCTGTCTCATGGTAAAGTTTGAGCTTCTAACTCTTCTTATTATAAAATTGAGAGCCAACGGTAAGAAACTTTTTGATCGGCCCTTGTACTTATCACATATTCAATTTTATTTATTTCGGGGGAATTCCCTTAATAAGATTTATGGAGGAAATAAAGGTAGTACATACATACATACGTAAGAGGGGGAGAAACCCCAGGGTTCAAAAATGACATACGTCTATAATGTAAATCTGTATTGAGATGAACCACCGTCCTGATTGGTCCAAATCGACAAACAAAAATGGCGGATTCAAAATTTTCTAATAACGCTTCAAATAATATTATCTTAATTTCTGGCGTGTTAACCAATATAGCTTGTTATTTCACAGCAAGATAAAGAAAGATGGTAGGAATATGCTTACATCGACAGGGACGTAGCCAGCTTTCAGTCAGGGAGGAGGGGGTGCTATCGCCAAAAATTTCGGTATTCTGTCAGGGGGTTGCGATTGTGGCATAAACAAGCATAAACATATTATTGATGCAACTTCCTTCAAAATTGAGCAAGAAGCTTCGAATAAAAAGCTTTTTAAAGCTCTTGTCTTCCTCTTCCTCATGGTTTTATAGGTTATGAGGGGGTATTATCGTAGCCCTCTGGCTACGCCTACGATCGATTAAAACATAACAGCGACATGTTCTACTAGTATTCAAAAACTAACTGGTGAGAATTTGCGCAAACGAAGGTGGTACGCAAGAGACGTACTATCATATGTCTGTCATCGCTAAAGCTCTGAAAACAGCCGCCATTTTGTTCACTTCAGCATTTGAATCGTGAATTTTGGTCTTATGCCCAAACGAAAAATTCCCAAACTCCAAAAGAAATGATCGAGATATTGGTTCGAATCTATTGGACTGTTTCTTTGACTTTATACTCGGTAGTAATTTCAGAAAATAACGACATTTCGACGTTTTCATTGTTGGAAAATATCGACTGTCGATCCTGGGAGCCAATCTTCCTCGAAATTCAAAGATTGATTTAAAAAGCTCACACACGCATAAGAGGGGAGAAATCCCAGTGTTCAAATATGACGTACGTCTATAGTAAAATTGTATTGAGATGACCCACCATCCTGATTGGTCCAAATCGACAAACAAAAATGGCAGATTAAAAATTTTCTAATAACGCTTCGAATAATATTATGTTAATTTCTGGCGTGTTAACCAATATCATAGCTTGTTATTTCACATCAAGATAAAGAAAGATGGAAGGAATATGCTTACAGGGTGTTCCAAAAGTAACAGGACTGGTACTGGCATTTTGTCAATTTTGCACTGATTATCTTCAAACTTTCACAAATTGTACTTTAAAGTATTGCAACTAAAATTGTATAGTTTCAGAAAAAATGATGAAATGCGGGTAGAGTTGTGGTTACTATAGTAACATGACATCACAATACCCGGGGCAACTTTTTTCTGAAAATGTGATATCTAACATTTTTGTATTACTGAAGAAAGTATCTAATTTACCTATTATAATACAACATTTCTTGTTTATTTTATTAGTTGCTTTGTTGTAAAGGTGTTGCTATAAAACTCAGATTCAAGTATAATTTCATTATAATTATATTTATTCAATTTCCTAGAATATCACAATGAATTAGTCTGAACAATTCATGGTTGAGTTTTTGAGAAGACCCAATTTGAAGCCAGTCATCCACCTTGATAACAAGCCTGCCCGCAGGTCACCATTAAAGACCATGCAGCTATAGAGGAGCTAGGTCTTGAGTTCTTAAACCATGCACCATACTCTTCTGATCATGCAACATCCAATTTTTACTTATATGGAGAATGGAATACTAAGCAGTGCTGTAAGATCTTTAAAAATGAAAATGACCTTCTCCAAGTTGTTCAATCGACCATGCGTGACATGTCCTCAAATGGGTTCAATCATGTGTTTGAGTCATGGATACAGAGTGCTACTCTTCTACTGACCAAAGAGGAGCCTATTTTTCAAAGTAAATAGGATACATAGGAATATCAAATTATGTAAAACAAATGTAATTCCCACCAGTTGTTGCATTTTAACTTTGATATGGGATTCACAAAATGCTTAATGTCTCTTTCTGTCTTAATGTAACTTTCTGCGTGGAATGTTGCCCCGGGTATTGTGATGTCATGTTACCATAGCAACCATAACTCTACCCGGGTTACATATTTTTTGTCGAAACTTTGACGTTTTAGTAAAGATACATGAAAGTACATTATGTAAAATTTTGAAGCTGATTGGTGCATATTTAACAAAATGCCAGCACCAGTCCTGTTACTTTTGGAACACCCTGTACATCGATTAAAGCATCACAACGACATGTTATATTCAAAAACTGATTAAATGGTGAGAATTTGCGCAAACGAGGCGTAATATGCATGTCTGTCATCGCTACCGCTCTGAGGGTTTCCCTCCTCTTCATCGCATGTTAAAAACCAACAGGATTTCCAACACGATTGATGACTCGTGTGTCAATTCGAGTTTAAGTGTTATTTCAGCACAAACACTTACAAAAGACGAACACGCCCGTAACTTACTAGTAGTGATTCATAAAAATCCCTGACTCTGAAGAGCCCGGGTATGACGTGTATAGTATATACCCCGTTTTATTCTTACCCCGAGAACAGAATACAAAAGAGTGCGAGAGCTGGAAGTCGGGAGAGTTCGTGTTCGATGGTTTACAGGATAGATGTACATTAAAATGATGTATATAAACCATGTGATACAGGTAGAATAGAATTGTTTTTTAGTTCTCAAAGTAATAAAATAAGTTTTCAAAATCATTTTCAAATAATCGTCATAGCATTTGAGACATGTTCACTTTTGTTAAAACTTGCATTTATGTTAGCAGCTAAACGCTATTTTACAGTTTTTGCTGTCACTTGAAAAGTAGTATCTAGCGATTTTGTTCATATTCGATATGTATACTCATAAGCACACTGTTTCATGACATTTTGGCTAGACGGCGGCTATTTTGAAAATGGCTGCCATTATTACGTTATTTTACGTTTTACTATAACTGATAAAGTAATAGAGCGATTTTGTTCATATTTGATATGTAAATACTCACAAGCATGGCACATTGTCTTATGACACTTTTGGTGGATTTACACTTGCGCGCTAAGACGTCTTAGCTAAAACGTTTTAGCGTTAAAACGTTTTACAAATGTAATGTAAATCCAGATTTACTCAAGAGCTCTCGGCTAAGAGCGCTTAGCTAAAACGTTTTAGAACCCTAGTCATAGCCAAGACGTCTTAGCGTTAAAACGTTTTACGAAGCAAGTGTAAATCCATCGGTTTTAGCTAAGAGCTCTTAGCCCGGTTTTTTGCGTTTCGCCGAACGAAACATTTGAAACTTTCCATTTACATATGTTGCATGGTCCTTTATTTTGCCTTATCCCTTGTTCCTAATATCATCCCAAAATTATTGAGAAGAACTTATTTGGCTGGCGATTTATCATAATCCTAATTTATGCATACAATCTTCCTGCTCTCTTTCATGCTTTTAACAATGCTGTCTTTAGGACATATTTTTCTGAAACCGATGCATTCTTCAGTACAAAGTCGAGTACGAAGTATAGAAGCGGGAAAGGAATAGCTATATTGACTGAGCCGTCGTTCAACCAGCACTGAACTGCTTTTTTTTCATTTTACATGTATACCTACATATCTCTAAGACGTTTTAGGAAAACAGGTGTAAAGTCGATCTTATTTCCTAAGACGTCTTGAAAGTGGTAATGTAAACTCAACTTAATTTTCCTAAAACGTTTTAGCCAAAACGTCTTGAAATGCTGCGCGTAGTGTAAATTGGGCTTTTGGCTAGTATGCGGCTACTGTCAAAATGGCCGCCATTTACATGTACGTTTTGTTATGTGCCTATTAATTTAGAAGTATATTATACTTTCTTATGACAATTTGGCTTGTCACTAAGCGATCATTCTGAAAATGGTGGCCATTTTTTTATGTGTGCTATTATACGATTTTTGCGATAACTGAAAAAGTGGTTGAAGGATTTTTGTAAAATTGGCAGCCATGGCTGTTCGATTGGATTAGCTACGCTTTGGCGTTGCTGTTATCTAGTTTGACCCGACGCCCATTGAGATCAGTTCTCTATGAGTCACATTTGCACCATTAGTCATTTTAATTCTTTTAACCTTACACTGTACTTGCTATTTATGTCATCAGGCCTATTGTCGTTTGACAGATTTTTCGTTGTTTATTAAATCGCGCTTTAAGCGTTCATGTTTTCTCGTTCCCTTGAACAAACCTGCAATTATATTTTCAAGGTTTATTTTTATTGTACTACTGTAATTTCAAGTTTTCATGCAACAGTTGGATGTTCCAACATTTTCAAACGATTAAAGGTTCGCCATTTGAGAGATAAGCTCTAATGTTAAAACTGTTAAAAGATGGGTCATAGTGACATATAATTTCACACGATGTTTAGTATTTATTTAACAACATTTACATGCACTATGTTGTCAAATAAAGGAGTGATATCGATATGCTGAACTTTTTGGACACGCGTTTCTCTTAAACCAGTCATCAAAACATTCTGAAAATTTTACACATCGTCATTTTAATGATCATCTTTTGGATGGTAATTATAATTTGAAATATATATATATACTTTTCTCTATATTGTTTTAGAAAACACATCAGCCACTTCTTTTGTTCTTGGTATCATATGTTCGGGATGAAATGAAACATTTACTATCTCATTGGAACAAAACGACATAAACACAACGTGTTTAGGTCTCTCAATATTGTCATTGCACAAAGGAAAGTTTGGTTGATTTAAAAAAAAGTATCTTGTTGATGAAATAAAAGGTTTATGTTAATTTTTATCTATTTTGGGGGGGTTTTGTTTTAAGTTTTGCATATTTTTTGTAAATCAACCAAAATTACCTTTGTATAACTATAATATTGAGAGGTCTAAGAAAATAAATTTTGTTCCAATGAGGTTCGGATAGATGTTACCATCCAAAAGATAACTATTACATTGACGATGTGTAAAATTTTCAGAATGTTTTGATGACTGGTTTAAGAGAAACGCGTGTTCAAAAGGTTCACCATATCGATACTACTCCTTTGATGAAATTTGCTATATCACCTGAATAACACCCGAGAACAGGATCGAAGCGGGACCTGGACACCTGGCCCCGGAAGAACGACAGACTATGGGACAGCAACTTTTAGGGACTTTTAGAATTTTTTCACTGATTTGAAGATTGAATTTTATAACTACACTTATAACTAGGTTGGTTAATTTTTGAGAGTTACAATTTTAAAATTTTAAACTCGATGAACAAAACAACAACATTTAAAGAAAGCTCAGAGGACTGGATTTTTACCCCAGTTTATCCCAGTATCTTTTTAAATCAGATTGTGTATCATATTTTCAGATGCAAGAATTAGATGACATTCCCAAAAGCAGGATTCGTCTGCTTGTGAGCATATAGATGGCAGGCAAATATGAACAGCTTCATGACCACTGATCGTACCAAAATACTGAGCACCTCCTATTTGTCTGGGTTTTCCTGTATCATATACTGGGGGTGCAACCACGAAGGAAAGAGACTGACTCTATCTGCTCCTCGTGCAACTGTTCAACTGAGCTCAACAGATTCGTGCACGTTGACTGCTCCGGTACCCCACTTGCTCGTATCTCATTGTCCAACCTTCCCAATAACACTTATCCCGTTCCCGGACTATGGTCCTGTGAACATCTCAATCTTTTGCCTGTGCGATTACAACATGGGAGAATTTTTTACTGATCTTACACTTCAGATACCTACTTCAATAGATTCCTTGGTAATTTAGCATTCTTTTCGTGTAGTTGAATCCACAATTGTCTGGGTTTATCGGCAGAACGAAGACATTTTCGTTTTTGATCGCAATATTTGCGTGTAACATTTAACTTATTTCAACCGTCAAATTCCTCCATATTGGTACTTCCGGGCTACATCCGGGACAGCCAAACGGGGGATTCCCCTTTTAAATCCAACCGCCATTTTGAAAAGTGATGGAATCTCTCTCGATGAAAAAGAGAAAATGTTCCCGTTCTGCCGATATACCCAGACAATCGGCGGTTCCAATATATTAGAAGTTACATCTTGAGTTCTATAATGCATTGAGGTAGGTATCTTAAGTGTAAGGGGCGTAGATAATTCTCACAAGTTGTAATCGTACAGGCAAATGAATGCGATCAGTGCAGGACTATAGTCCGGGAACGGGATAAAATAACACCATTAGTTCAAATATTCATTCTTTACATCGTTTTTCTCTCACCCAGCACATTTCTGTAATTGATTTGTCTCATAATCATTTACGTATTATACCTCCGTCACTCAGCAACACTGATAATTTTAAAGGACATTTGACCCTTTTGAACCTTTCACACAACTTTATTAGAAGTGGACATTTTTCAAATCTTCCACGTTCTTGTTATATTGACTTGTCGGGTAATAGTTTATTTTACAAAAGCATTGTTCAGAAACACAGCTCAAGGCCTAGTAAACATATGTCTCCAAATAAACGCAAGCAAACTGATGAACAAGAATGTGGGAATGTAACGTTTATTCTTGATGGCATTAATGAATGGGAACATGTTACACTGCAAAAGCGGTTTTTCCATCGTCATATATTTCACGACATCACCCACTTATCCCTCGAGAGCAACAACATCATTGCGATCGAGAGTGATCTCACAAGTCATCTTCCGAATTTGAAATGGTTATCGTTATCCAACAATTACATAGCTAACGTATGTTGGGGATTATTGAATGAACTATCATCTGCGCCTTTGTTACGGGAGTTGGACGTCTCTCAACAGCGGATCCAAATTGACCAGAGTAACAAAAAGAACGACTCACAAGACTATATTTCCGACATAGATTCTCTTTCTGGTAGACCCTTGCCTCTTGGTTGTTTCAAACACATAAAGAGGCTTATTAGTTCACATAATGGTATCGTTGAATTAGTTTGGGATCCCCTTAGTGACGCAGATCGTCCAAAATATGAAGATAAAGTTGATTCAAAGGAGATAATATACATAGATGTATCAAACAACAACATCAGTCATATAGGACTGGATGCAATCGCTCATTTCAATCCAAAACTGCCCCTCTTACAACCACCGCCATTTCTCAATCTATCGCATAATGTTATTCTGATCAGAGTATTGACAATATTGTGCCATTCATTGAGGGATCTGTATATGGCCTGTCTTTGGATTTTAGTCATAATCCCATTGAGACAAATTGTGAATTAGGTCATTTCACGTCCTGGTGTATTTCAAGTAAGAGATGTATTTCAAGAGAAGATAGGTTTATCAATGCGTGCAGAAAGGAAATGAAAAAGAACGGCAAATATGCCTACAGGAACAGAACAAAAATAACATTTAACCGTGGAAAAACAATAAAACAATGGAAGTCAAGACTACAAAACAGCGGCGAAATTGTGAACTATCTCGACAATTCAACAGAGAATGGCACGATGATTTGGACTGTAACGTCGGATCCGAATGTAATCAGCAGAGTGTACAGGGATGAGGGGAGTAACCGTGTGTTCCTGACAACGACAATAGGCATTTCACTTGGATGTGGAGTCCTTGCTGTTGCCTTTAGTGCCTTGGGAACCTCTCTCTTTCTCAGAGCTAAGGTAAACATTTAATCATTTTATAGTTGGGCGTTGTATATTCTCATTGAAATTATAATATAAATTAACATCGCACTCATCAGCTTGGCAAAGAAGGACTTTCTGATGAAGCTTAGGCTATATAGATACTAAAAATAAATTTATTATTTTATTATTTTACTCATTCAGAAACAACGGGCGAATGGTACAATGTCCGACTCTTCATACGTCCAAGAGGCGATATATAGTGAGCCGTATGAAAATAAAGATAACAAAATCACACAAGACATACAAGTACCTGTATGCACGCCTGAAACCACGATACAAACAGAAAACGATTATATCAACGATATCAAAGTTTCAACCCCTATACATGAAGTTGTGAAAATAAAATCGGATGAAAATGATGAGCTATACAGTTTCAACAAGGCAGTTATCGTAAAAGATGGAAAAAATGCTGAAGCTCTGGATAGTAGTGATTACATTGATTCGCTCCTCCCTAAGGACAAATATAGCAAGGTCATTCGAACTGACTCCGACAGCGCCTATTATAGTCTCGGCAACAGTTTAGAGGGCATCCTTGGACAGCACAAATCGCAAGATAGCATCGGGCAGTCTGTGTGTCACAACATCGAAAAGCGCAGCAAACAACACCAGCTGCTTCCAGCCTTAGATGTATCATCTGATTCCCCATTTTACGTGGAGGATATCCTGACGGAAGAGGGAGGGCGCCTTGAGCTACCAGCCTACAGAGTCACTATGTTCGTGCCACCGGGAGCTATTCCAAAGGGGACGAGACAGCGTATTTTTATGTACGTACATCCAGATACTACACATGTTTCTGCATCCATGAATAAGCAAGGCCAGATCATAAGTCCATTCATTATTTGTGGACCTGATGGGTTTAAATTTGAAAATATGATAACACTTTCCTACCCACACTACGTGACACGGCTAAAAGATTGGCAGGTGAAGACAATCTATACTAAAACCACGAACAACCAATTGGAATATGATTTTGTGGACGAGGACCCTTCTTCTGACGCCTTGGTTCAAAAAGAAAACATCACCTTGTTTTTATCACACTTTACTGGATTCGGTACAATTGGCCAACAGCATTCCGAGGCTTCCCCGAGAGGCGAGATGTACTGGAAGACGATTTTGATTCTGGCCAGTCAGATCATTGAGGGTGAAGATCTTATCTTGTACATTTGGTGCATCGATTCGAATGAGTTAGAGGTACACGTATGTCTTTTAACTGGTAATCCAGATGTGAATTAGTTTTGTGTTTCTTCGTTCATTACAATATTGTGTAATATAATGTCGGTAGGTGTAATTTTGTGAATTGTCTTTGTGAAGTGTTATTAATTTGAAATATATTAAAAATTGAGAATGTTATTTCATTTTTAGAGTGTTCTAACAGAGGAAGAACAACAAGGTAAAATGCGTGTATCGACGAACCCTTTTCAGATTCGAATTGATCCAAGTGAAGAGCACGGGACTATTACTGCCAGCCTTGTAGATGTTGACAAAGCATGGAGTGTATATGGACCATCCTTGAAAGAAGACAATATGCACGAGGTATTGATGAGCTAAAATTGTAACGATGTGTTTTCGACCTGCAAACAGGTTTGGCGAGGCGCTGTTCGTGATTATGCATTGTCCCAGCTTTGACAATTTTAACTAAATTCGCATCATAATCATTTGCATACTAGTAGGCCTATGCTATATTTTTAAATCCTTCAGTTCGGAGAACTATGACATCCTTCCACAATAACTAAATTATCATCCCTCTATTTTCTCAGGTCGCCTTCACTGAATTGTTTCTTCGACCAAGAGATAGCAAGGAGATGGTATTTATCGCAGACAAAAATGACTCAATTTAGATGTAGAATTGAAATCCTCGGCAAATTTGAATCGAAATCCGTCGCTATCTCGACCTCCCAGAAAAAACAAAATCAATTCCAAAAGTCACTCGAGGCCAAAAAGATTGACAGTCGCCCAAACTCTACGAGGGGATCGCTATTTAATCTCGACGAACGAAATGACTTGGTGGACAAACTTGACACCAACGAGAATACAATATGTGGTAATGACTGGAGAATTTTAGCGTCATACCTGAGTCTATCAGAAAAAGATGTTGAACAAATACAGAAACACTCCCATCGTCAAAGTCCAACTTGGAAAATGCTGAACTTTTTAGAGTTAACATTGAGAAACCCAGGGATTCAGGACATAAAAGACCTTCTTGGCTTCTTCAAAGGTCTTCCAAAAAAGCAAAGTCGTATAGATGTTGAACGGATTCTCGAGGATGCCATTCTGAGAATACAGAAGGAAGCAGACATATCAAGGACGGGCATAGTGCGACCTACAAGAAGAGCCAAAATCAAAGTAAGTGACGAAGAACAACAAGATCAAGCAATTGCAAATTCACCAGCTTTGAAAGTTCCGATCCTTCCTGGTAGTGTCAGAGAGCCGACAGAACAAAGTATAGATGGTACCTACTTGGCCTGGTGATGCCTGGGTCACATATGCTCCGATCCATCGGCCGGCGCCCGGCCGATTGAGTGTTTTGTTCAATATTGTATTCAATTTTGAACAAAATACTCAATCGGCCGGGCGCCGTAGTGAAAATCGGAGCCTATGTGACCAAGGCATTAGATATCAATAAAGGCTACATAAGTCACAATGGCGCTTGGCCAAAGGAGCCAATTATACCGACACGCAGTGAAACTGGAGTAAAAAATGAGGAGACAACATGTCTGTATGAGACAAGCGACACTGGAATGCGTCAGAATGTGTCATCGAAACATTCAAGTATCATGACCGAGCCATCATCACACGTTGTCAATGCTAGTTCTAGTTGCAGCCTATCATTGCCAACAATATGATAAAACTCTAAATCTCGATGTTATTAAACATTACGGCATACATGTACTATAAAAAGGTATCTCCATGAGCTTCATGCTTATGTAAAACCAAATTGCAAATGACAATAACCTAAAGGAATTCGGAGATGCCGTAAGGTTCACGTAGCTTGAAATATCATATTCATCCAGAAGTTCTAATGTTAATATTTCTTGTTTAGTTGCTTGTATATAGTTCTGTAATTATCTAAATGAATTGAATTATATTTTTCGAACTGAATTCTAATTGTTCCTCCGTACTCTTATGAGGTAACATTATGATGGAAGTATTTCAGTGTCTTCAATGATAAGAAGGGATCGTGTAAAATCTTGAAGGCAATCCCTTCGAAAACTACCTTAAAATACACACGATTATACTGAAATAAAGGCAAAACAACTGTTTGGCTTTTCAGATAACACTATGAAATGTAATAATGAGAGAGAAAATATTGTAAAATTGTGATATTTTTTCGTAACTTATTCTCATCTCGTCTCCATTTTTCTTAAATTGCAATGTCCAACCCCCATTGTCAGTTAGTGTCGTATGGTATATACTGGTAGACATGTTCATTGCGTTGCAATTTATTATCAGTTGAGGAGTTTCGATATAGGTTTGAAATCTCACTTGCTGAAATTACACCACAAAATCCGCTAAAACGTTTTAGTGGAAGACGCTTTACAAAATCGCCATTCTGATTACACCTGCATTTCCAAGGAGGATTGGCTCCCAGAGTGCACCACCGATATTCTGTCCCATATATGGGTATGTCGTAATACAAAATTCGAATTCAAACAGCCGCCATTTTGTTCACTTCAACATTTAAATCGTGAATTTTGGTCTTATTTCCAAACGAAAAATTCCAAAACTCACAAGAAATGATCGAGATATTGGTTCGAATCTTTTGAACTGTTTATTTTGAATTTATAGTCGGTTTTAATTTCAGAAAATAACGACATTTCGACGTTTTCATTGTTGGAAAATATCGAGTTTCGATCCTGGGAGCCAATCCTCCTTGCTGCATTTCTAAAGCGTCTTAGGATTTATATATTGGAATTACACCTGTTTATTCTAAAACGCCTTTCGTGCACTTTTAACGATGTAGTTATGGATAACATCCAGCATACATGTATGTGTACATCTCCTGTAAATGTATTCTTTTTGCATCTAAGACAAAACTGATCTTCCATAATTTGATTAGAAATGCATGACATTGCATAATTTTTATCTTTTATTAATTATGAGAAAACATAATAAAAGGTGAAAGGAAAATATGTACATATTCTCTGAAGATAACACTTGATTTCGATGTGACCTGGCGACCATCATCCATTTTTCAATTTAGATATAGCCAGATAGCAGCGTGACCGGATGTCTCATCATGTATCAAATGTTTCAAATGTATCAAATATTTCGTTTAGGGAAAATGTTAAAAACTAGTAAAAACCCGGGTAAGGCGTTTTACAAAAACCGATCGGTATTACACTGCACACTTAAAACGCGACTTATGCCGTTTACTAGTGACAAGGGTTCTTGGAGTTTTAGAAAAGCGCTTTTGTAAAACCGCAATCGTGATTACACCTAATTCTTAAACCTGGTTAAAACCGAAGAAGCTTTTGTAAAACGCCAGGTGTAATTCCAGCAACTAACTCACCCTATGCAGACAGAGCCTGTGGGAAATATTGGGTGCGGCGCAAATGAGCGGAGGGTGCGGAGCTAACGGTCATTTTTGAATTTAAAATTGGGATATTTCTGAAACTAAGCCGTTTTGGGACTTCAAATATACCAAGATATGTGTATTTGACACCAAATATCAATAAAATTGTGAAACTAGTAGTGCAATTCATTTTATAGCGACGCAGTATGCCTTAAACATTTCCCAGACCTATATATTTTGAGACTATCCTTTTAATACTGCGTCCCCAGCATTCATAAAAAATGGTGTTCAAGGTACACTATCTATACAAATTGTTTTTGCATCTTGGAAGCCAGGCAGTATCTGTGTGATTTTATAAAAATTCGGAAATGTTCTTCAGATATGAGCCCCCTCTAAATATTGGGTGCTGGGGACTCAGTATTAAAAGGATAATTTCAAAATATATAGGTCTGGGAAAGGTTTAAGGCACACTGCGTCGCTATAGAATGAATTGCGCTACTATTTTCACAATTGTATTGATATTTGGTGTCAAATACACATATCTTGGTATATTTGAAGTCCCAAAACGGCTTAGTTTCAGAAATATCCCAAATTTAAATTCAAAAATGACCGTTAGTTCCGCACCCTCCGCTCATTTGCTCCGCACCCAATATTTCCCACAGGCTCTGTCTGCATAGGGTGTAACTTTTCTTTCTTTTTTATTGCATATTTGAAGTCAGTGGAAAGTTTTCCCACGATAATAACTTTGATTTATACAGTTATGTCATTTAAATAATTTTCCATGACTTTTTAAAAACACTTTGGCCACATCTCCATTGATGCAATGCTAAGATTCTTTTTTATTCGTTTGACAACCAACAATATTATGATAAATCACAATAGGATTGACAGCAGTATGTCATTTGAGTTTCAGACAGATTCAACTCGATGACATTTTCATAAATCATTAAATTAAGCGACTATTGCAGGTTTATAACAAGGAAGGCTATGGAAATCTGGCCCAAGCAAAACGAAGAATGACAAGGGTGACGTCTATTATATCAGATTTATTCAGCTATAGAGAAACTATATACTATTGTACACATAGAAAATGTTCTGGGATACATGCGCGTAAACCGCCAAAATACTTCAGTGCATTGTTAATTAGAGTTGGTTTCGTACTCATTTATGCCTATCTCAGGACTATTGACAGTCGGAACATCATCAGTCAATTACATCACCATGTTGTCTTGATTTAGTTCAGCGACTGTACATTTTTAAAGCTCATCGTCATAAACAATCGTTTTGTCATTACGGGGATTCCAGAAGTCTTTCCCAGATATGTCGCTGACAGAGCACTTCAAAACAGCATCGTTGGGAACCTGTGACAAGCAAATCATTGACATGGTAAAGCATTGTTTGAATAACGATTCAAATAATGGCAAAAACATAACAAGAAGTGGCGTTTGTCAAGTGTAGAAATAAATTATTAGGTTTACAAATTCATGGTTTGATGTTGTGGATTCAGTTCATGAACATGTCAACTTTACCTTTTTTAGTGGCTCGTATATAAAATGTGGATTAGTAGTATTGTATGGTTTGTTGTCGACAGAATTGTAAGCTACCAAGAACGCCCAGCGTCTGGTTTCACTGCTATTGGCATTGCTTTTGTGTAGAAGATTTGAATGAAAGAATAGAGCATCTCCTATAATATTTTCAAAATGGTAGAAGATGAGGCAGAGTTTTGACTAGCAATGGATGTTCGACCACAAAGCAAGGCGTAGTGAGAATAGGGGTCCTTTTTATTAGTCAGCCCAGGTAAATCTTCAGGATTGCCACTTTATATTTACGCCCAGCCTCTTATTTATATTACAATACTGCAAGAGGAATGATTCTGTATGTTTGACTTTCATAAATATGTGCAGCTTGGTAGATCTAAAATGGATGCATGGATGTGAATTTAGATGTATACAAAAATTACATTTCCCGAAAATGTTATATCTGTGATTTAATAATAAATGATAAAATGGGGGCCCTAGACACACTGCTTTGTGATCACCTAAGGGTATGTGGTCAATAACTAAGACAAAATCGTGACCAAAAAGACACCACATAGTCCAAATTAATGAGATCTTGAATTCAAATATAAATATCAGAATTTAATCTGTAAATTAAAACTAACCAGGTTTCATCTCCACATATTCAAGTCCTAGTTTATTTTGAACTTGTTTCACTCGCTCAGTATCAGCACCAGTTTGACCACCAACTATGACGTGCTCTATGCGGCCACATTTGTGTGAACCCGGAATTACCTGCAAGGAAAAAAACATTTCCCAATACAGTATTTATTTTCGTCGATTCGGAGTGGCTAATGCTCTACCAGTCTGGAATCCACCCGTGCTAATTTTCACAACAGAATTATGGTAATGGAAGGAAAAGGTCAGAAACCATATACAAAGCAGTAAATATCCGCTCTAAGAGAAAGCTTTTTGTTTAGTTCTTACAAAACTATCTGACCACATCTGGAGGCAAGCCAATATGCCCTCTAAATCATTATTATCTTAGTATAAAAATTCAAGTACTTGTAAACATCCATTTGTTTTATTGCTTTCATCGACAGCAATAAACACAGTGCCCATATCAGAGAAAAGACACCCATCCTTATACCAATATCTGTAAAGATTAAATAAGGTGGTACTGTGAATGCATATTAGGCCTACATACATGATAATGAATGGCAATGAAAAATAAATGATAATTCTCAGTCATTTTGAATTCAAATAATATATTTTAGAATTTGCAAACTGACATTATATAACCCGATGGAGAAGAATTCAAAAAACTTCTGCAAGTTCATATTGGTTTTAAAGGAGCACGTAGGTTATCGCAAACAATTTCAGAAGGTTATATCTTGGATTATGACTATTTTCTGACAATGAAGACAGGTTTATCTTTTAGATCAATTCATTATTACTCTTAAATAAAGGAGCACGTAGGTTATCGCAAACAATTTCAGAAGGTTGTGTCTTGGATTATGACTATTTTCTGACAATGAAGACAGGTTTATCTTTAAGATCAAGTCATTATCTCAAAGAAAATTATATACAGTAATAATAAAGTCAAACAAACTCGGAGATATTTAACTAGCAATCAACCCATCAACACACTTTTTCAAAGATGTTGACCCCATTTTCACCAAAAATGCAATCATTTTTTACAATGTTTAATGCATTACTATTCTCTATTTTGATGTATCAAATAGTTCTTGAAAGAAAAACTTAATTGCTTTAAGATAAATGTTCCCCATGTAATTTCTCCATTGGTTTTAGTTCATTTTGGTCATTCAAATTCAGTATCTGTAAAGTCCCTGGAGCAATCAACTTTTCCTTTTAGGAAATCAAACATGTCTCAAAGCACATTCTAATTATGCATTCAACAATATAATAAAAGGTTGCATTTTTTGTGAAAATTAGGTCAACATTTTTGAAAAAGTATGTTGATTGGCCCATTGCCTCTTCAATATTACTGAGGTCTGATTAACTAAATTATCAATATATATACTTTTCTTGAAGATAATGAATGGATCTAAAAGATACACACATGTTCATGATCAGAAAATATTCATAATTCAAGTTAGAATCGTTTGAAATTGTTTGCAATAACCTACGTGCTCCTTTAAACAATCATCTGAGCTATATATCTATCTATAGCTATTACGAGAAGCTCATTTGACAGTACCCATAGTCTTACAAAATGCTTATTTGACAGCACCCATAGTCTTACGAGATGCTTTTTAGACCGTACCCATATTCTTACGAGATGCTCATTTGACCGCACCCATAGTCTTACGAGATGCTTATTTGACCGTACCGACATAGTCTTACGAGATGCTTATTTGCCGTGCCCATAGTCTTACGAGATGCTTATTTGACCATACATATAGTGTTACGAGATGCTTATTTGACCGTACCCATTGTGGCCCCAATAGTGTTACGAGATGCTCATTTGACCGTTCCCATAGTCTTACGAGATGCTCATTTGACCGTACCCATAGTCTTACGAGATGCTTATTTGACCGTACCCATAGTCTTACGAGATGCTTATTTGACCGTACCCATAGTCTTACGAGATGCTCTTTTGACCGTACCCATAGTTTTTTATTCTTCTTTATTCATATTTAGTACATATAAAATACACATATAATGACTGCCAAAGTTTAAAAACATTGGTGGCAGTTTTTTGATTAACATACATAATAAAAGTATAATAAATAAAAAAGGTGGTGTCAGGTACCCATAGTCTTGGTGCCAAGTGTGTTGTCCTCCTGTTTTGGCTTCTTTCATCATAAGCTTACAACTGTAGTGATACAGTTCTGCTCCAAAAAGCTATACACAAGACACATTACAAGTGGGTGAAAAATACGTAATTCATAGTGGGCCCTTACCCTTTGCGTTCGCTTCTTAAAAGAGAGCTTCGTATTTAGTTTACAACAAGACTGCACGCTAGGGTATGGGCCCCTTTCACTGATTTCGTAAAATAAAAATTGGATTGTAACATGTGGGCCCCCGGCACTGATTTCGTAAAATAAAATTTGGATTGTAACACTGATGTATAAGGGGAAAGGCATGCCTTCTGAAGATTTACACTCTCCGTCCCTTCTAATTCCTTATTATTCAATATACCCAAAGTCCTGATGCCACATATGTTTGCCCCTGTCTTATGCGTCTTTCATCATTAGTTTGCATTACATGTAGTAAGGTATCACACCCTAACAGCTACAGTTATAGCCGTGAGTACAAGATACATGTATGAGACATTCGAAAATTGAATTTATAAAAACATGGCGATTTTAGAACAAGCACAAACTACGTAAGTTGAGGCAGCTTATTACATTATTTCATTACGCAATCACTAGAACTGGTACTTTAACAAAATGACGAGCCATCAGTCTGAATGAATTGATAGAACCTATGTTATGTTAAAGTGGTTACCTTTTCCATTGTTCCAGCAATCTTGTCACACCTGGCAACCATTCCTGTAATGTCCTGTCCAGGTAAGCTCCAGATGCACAGCTTCACTTTGCCACCACCCCCGTCTCCAATCTAAAAATATTATCAGAATTCATTATTACATAACAACGATGTCCAAATTGAGTTTACCTCAAGACCTCTAAAGAATTCTAATTTCCAAAGAAAGGCAATAACTTAACCACCATAGTTTTAAAGACATACATGTAGGTAACACAATGTACAAATTCATTGATCAAAGAATATTATAGCCTGGTTGCCCGGAGCCAACTTTTACCAAGGGGGAGCTTTTGCCAAGGGGATGGGAAAATTTGAACAGGTTTGAGTTCAGTGCTCATAATGGTGAAAAACTGCATGATTTTGAAAGAATTTTCATCCAGGGGGAGACTTCCTCTCCCCCGGCCTCCCCCCGGCTACGGGCCTGGCCAGAGAGACGACGATTGGAATCGAAAATGTGTGTCAATTATAGGGATCAACCTACCTCATAGGCATGTTGTTTAATCCCATCATCTTTTTCCAACGCCTCCTTTAGCTTAGATATTTCATCATCACCAAACACATTTCTTAAAAAATACTTATTGAGTAGAATGAATATTATTGATATTATTGTATTCCGTAATTCTGTCTTTTGGAAATTAAAATAAATAAGAATCGTAGTTATCATACATATGCGTTCTCTTGAATATGAATGTATAAATCATAAGTGACTGGACAATATGCTATCTTGATATTCTATAGATCTTAATATGGTAAGTACAGTAGGTATACCTGACAACAATATAGCCTCTCTCATCAAAGGTAGATTTAATATGTTCCGTTACCTCGAATGTGGGGCCAAATTGAAAACCTTAACCAAAACAATTAACATAATTACTTAATACTGTTTTATTTTGCTAATTCGAATAATTTCGTTTGGTTGTCATTGTCACAAATTTCTCATCATAAAAAAGTTAACTCTTACTTAGTACTATTAAGGGTAGAAACGACAACTGATAGAAAACCTCGGAGGATTGATTATAAGATCATGACGATTACTATGCCCCAAACACTAAATTACCAGTACGTCAAAGTAGGTCAAATAGGCGGCTCGATGCATCTGGTATATACGACACCATATATACGTGGCATGGTATGCCCAAATTGATTCATTGAATTGTCTGATATTGAATCAGCTTGGAGACAAACTCGGGTTTATTTCATTTTAAGCTATCTAAATCCTCCGAGCAATAAATGTAACTTAGGTAGATGTGTTAGTTAGCTTACCGTCGTCCTTATCAGCCATACTGCAAATGTACAGTCGGTCTAAGAGGGAGAACAAGGTGACCTTCATTACAATTATTTTTTTGATAAGAGCTATCAGTACAATAGGCTGCTCATTATAGATTACTAACCTGATTGTCTAAGGGAGATGGCTAGTCAAATGGTTAAATACATCCACATAACCAAAAAAATTGTTTACTGTATTTTCTACTGTAGCTGTATTTTTATTGAGCTTGATGCTTTTGTCACCAGTGTATTCCTTGATCCTTTGAGGGATCAATTTCAAATTGTTAGGAATGATTAGTATGAAAATCTAGAACTTATTACTTTTTTGTCATTCTGCGTAAATTTTAAGTTGGCCATTCTGGCTTTTCCGTCCTAAAATCGTGTCTGTGAAGGCTTGTCTACCCATTTTCAGGATAACAGTTTGACGGATCGATTTCAAATTTTAAGAAATGATTTATAATATGAAAATCTAAAACTTATTACCCTGCGTGCAGAGTCTAGTTAAACGAAGCTCTCTTTTAAGAAGTGAAGTCAAACGAATGCAAAGGGTAAAAACTTATTAGTTTTTCGGCATTCTGGGTAAATGTTAAGGCAGCCATTTTGGATTTCTGTCCTAAAATCTTGTCTGAAAAGTCTTGTCTGCGTTTTCAGGTTAACCGTTTGAGGGATCAATTTTAAATTTTCAGGGATGTTTCTTTGTATGAAAATTGTGGAACTGATTTTTCTCTTAAAATCCTGTCTTTTCAACTGATTAGTTAGGCATTCAAAATGAAAAATTTGCAGTATATAGGATCAACCATTGGTGGGGACATGTTGTACACATTTGTGCTTTTGTGTACTTTTGTTATTTTATACACTTTCGTACTTCTTCATATAAACTATTATTATATGAAACTACTTTGGGTTAAATATATTTTCACGCTGGGTGGCTCTTCATTATGAATGAGCCATATTTTATGGCTCTACTGAGACAAGTTACTTAATATTGTATAGAATTTTAGATATTTATTTATCATTTGTTGTTATTGGCACAATGTGAATTAACCGAATGACTTAGATTGTTAGATGTATGTTTTATGATATAAATAGTATTATATCAGAGAGTGAATTTTGGAAGGCAATTGAGTCTCAAGATTTAGATCCCAGTCTTGTTACTAAGAAACTAATTCTACATAATACTGTATGTTATCAAACATTTGTCAAGCGTACTCAGTAAGGAAACAAGGGTAGTGTAAACTGTAAACCTATATTGCATTTTCAATGATTAGAATATATAATATATTGAAAAGGAATAGTATAATTTTGTTATTTTTATATATTTTACATTGTAGATCTGAGATCTTAGAATTTTCTGTTGAAGTTTTTATGGATTGAGATAAGTTAAGTTCAGAAGACTTATCATGGGCTTTCTAGAAAATTCATTCAAGACAAAATCAAATCAAACTTTATAGCCTTTAGTTTATCACTGTCAAGCTTCCAGTTGCACGATCTTATGATATTATTGGGCAAAACCAGGTCACGTGTCATGAAAGATGAGGCGATATTTATTCCCTGCCTTAATCGTCTATATGGAAAAGCATTCTGATACTAAGACCATCTCTGCAATGCACAAGAAGGGAAATGCTCTAGAAAGGAAACTGAGAGAAGGCTGTGATATCTCACGATGATGGAAAAGTGTTAAGGGAGCACGGAAGGTATTGGACCCTGATTTAAGACTGTCATATGTTGGATTTTTTGCCATATTCTGAGGATTTGAACAGGTGCATATGTAAGGTCAATGCATTATCTGCAGGACAAGCACTCATTGAGTTGATGAAATAATTCGGACTTTGAGACAGGAAAGGTGCAAACACCCCACCAACATGTTTTTCTGAAATGTTGTCCTGATTTTCGGCCCTTTCCACCCTTGTTTTTTTCAATGTTTGATGCAATCCCGGATATGACCTCAGTAATTCACTTGCGGATCTTGGGTGGGCCCAGAAAAAAAATTGGGCCCAAAAAATGTTGAGCCAAAAAAGGCCTTACGGCTCCAAAAAGTGGGCCTTTTTGGTCATAAATGGGCCTCGTTGGCCTCAAAATTTGGGCCCACTTTTTGGTTTTAGGGGCCTAGAAGTTTTTTTTCAGACCAAAAGTTTGCCCCCCCCCCTTGTTGGTTCCCAGATCCGCCCCTGTAATTCGTCAAAACCTCGCATTCCGCTTTTAACAACAAACTCAAATACAAATTGCCCCTCTAAATGCTACAAATTAATCTAACCCTATCCATAAAATTGCCACATTGATTGATAGGTGTAATCAGATCATCCCATCATGTAGCACACTTGGTACCATGAATTTGGGTTTGGCTGTAGAGGTGGACGAGGCTTATTTGACACCATGTATAAAACCAATATAACGTTACATGTATCCTTTGAAAGAAGACTGCATGTCCAAAAATAAATTAAGTTGTTATAGTTCCGCTTACGCTGACTTGGGTGTTGGTATCTATCTATTACAAAAATGGGTGATTTCCCTACAACACAAAAAATCACGTGTTTTGTTATTCTGCCAATTAGGCCCACAGTTACATCAGTAAAGAGTGACTTTACCATGGGTGGATTGAGTTATGAACTGCCAAAGGCCATTGCATCGGCCTGATGAGGATGTTTCTGGTGATGAAACAGCACTGTAATAATTTAGGGCAATTTCTGGGAAGATACATCATCAAATCTGCATAAATAAAACAATCCTTCCAAGTAATTACCGTTCTGCATATAGTGGGAATGATATTCGTGGAATGAATAATAAAAAAATTCTTTGCAAAGAAGGCGGCCTTTTGCTGGGCAATGTACAAGTGATGTTTGATACATATAGTGAGATGTCATGTTTTATAAGCAAATGAAGTTACAATTATGTTATAAAATAGAATTATTGTCCTTAGAAATAACCAGGTGACTGTTGGGGAACACCTTTGTACAGATACAAATTAACAGTTTTAAGGATATCGCTTGGAATTTTCTATCTTAGGAATTTAACTTAGTGTCCTTTCTGATGCGGAGCCTGAGAATATGTTTGGAAATTTCAGTGGAAGAGAAAGGTACGTAAAGTTATGTTTTATGTTTAATTGTCTAAGACGCAGGAAATCGCCTCTTTGGTGATATAGTAATTTACATTAGTTTTATTTTCGCAATTTAAAAACACTTTGTTAGGGATGCGCGGATACACACCATTTTTTGGCTAAAATAAATTCCAAATGAATTTCATGAAAATTCATGATTTCAATTTGTTGGCATTGAAGATATGAATTGAAATCATGTCAATAGCACTCGAATTTTCGTGAATGCGCTATCCGATGAACAACTTATTAAAAACATTTAAAGGCAACATTCTCCCTGCGCAAACTGACGACCTTATCCTCGAAATAACAAGGTAGAAGCATAATCTCTCGAGTAATCGCGCGAAATCTGTTCCAATCTGGACAAAGAAGGGGGAATACATATGAATTTCCGGGAAGAATTTTCCAATTTTTCAGTAAATAGAAAAAAGCATTAATTTTCCCTGAATATGTCTAACTGGATGAGTGGTAGAAAGTCAGATACATGTAATAAAGACAGTCATGGTGCTTGTTCCGCCATGAAACCAATACGATTTGGGAAAATGAGGGAATCATTCAAAGATACACCTTTAGGTTCAATTAATATGTGGATAGATGGAGGTCCATCACGTATTTTGCAACTTATATGACCCTAGATAGTATTTTGTTAATCCACCATGAAATATATTCGCAAACCAGTTTGAAAACTTCATACCTTGATGATGCATGACCAGTCCACCATACCTAGTGACCTCTTTAAGATAATTAGCAATTCATGTATAACGTAATATCCAAAATGAAGACCACTGACTACTTTAGTACTCTAAAAGTAATATCCTAGTATATTAGAGCTCATCCAGAATCTATACTCCATTATGATAGGCAGATGTCAGGGAACTACGGTTATACGGTCGCCGTAGATCGCAAATGTGACTGAGGTTTTATACTAGAAAAAAGACAAATGATGTGATGCGTATGATAATGGAGTATAGACTCTGAATAAGCTATCTTACAAATAGAATTCTAAATTGTGCACTGAAATACAGGCATTCGAGTACTAGTATAGTATGAGTATACACCATGTAAATGTTCATAACGATTGAACCAAGTATCGAACCTGAACTCGGGAACAATTTGTACCAGATGACCATGCTCCAATTTGTTAGGATATTCGGGCCAGTTGATGGTACTTTTTTAGATATGTATGTTTTATCGTCCAAGAAACATATAAACCCTACTGCCCTATATTGCAATTTGCAAACCTGATGTAATTGGTCTTGTTACATAGGTTACCGCATGGAGTGTATTTGAATACATTTGGCATTAGGTCTTAACTCCGGGTATTCTAATTTGTAAATAACTACTTTTTTATGGAAATTAAATTTTGCAAGACAACGAACGTATGAATTATTTAGATTTACTTTATATGAAACCTCTTGGGGGAAATGATGTTCTGCCATCAATGTCATTTGATGTCTATCGTGTGATCCAATAATATCATTTTACCTCGTATCCAGTACAAGATTTAGATTGCATTGCGAAAATTGCATCATTGACCGTCCTCGTCGAAGGTGCTTCAAAATAATATAAGTGCATCGTGTCACATGATGGTGATGGTTGTGTTCAACTGTACCTTCCAATTTAGCAAAAAAACATAAGCACGTACCTCGCCATTCATCATGATACTATTTAGAGTTTTCACTCAAATGCCCGCTTGAAATATGGACGTTTTAGGCCCACTCTGAAATTGTTTCATCGAAAAACCAATGATAAATATCGATCGTGAAAATAACAATAACATAAAACCGCGAACAGGCAAAAATATTGCAATTGCCGAATATAAAAAAAGTAATTCGAGTTCTAATAGAGGATGTATATTTATTGCAAATCGCAGCTAGTTGTCCAGATTAGAGTGCTATATATGGCATATGCAGGGACCCAAATGACCAATTTTGTATTTTGTCAGAAATAGACTGGAACAGGT